GAGGGGAAAGGGACACTGGCTCCTGGTGAAGTCATCGGCTCTGACCATAATGGGAAGTTAGGGCAGACAAACTGCCATTTCCTTGAACGTTGGCTGCCTCTGCAGTTGTCAAAATACTCTCCTTGAGCCCCTACCCTCTATTTTGGGAGTTTCTCCATTTTTGTCCTTGAAGACACCAGTTCCCGCCCCTGCCCACAACCCTCCAAGGCTGCCTGCTCCCCTGAGCATAAAATCCGGACCTCTAGCCAGCCTTCCAGGTCCTACCTACAGCAGAGGGTCTTGGGCGGGGCCTCCCAGCTGCCTGTTACAGTCATGTGCGGAGGTTTTATACAGAACCCGAGGCCTATACAGACTAATTAAATCAGAGACTCTGGGGCAACGGTTCTTCGACTGGGGGTAACTTTGCCCCAGGGGACATGTGACACTATCTGAAGACATTTTTGGTTCTCACAACTAGGGACTCAGTACTATTGGCATCTAGTGGGTAGGGAGCAGGATCCTGCTAACCATCCTACAATGCACAGGCCAGACCCTATAATGAATGATCTGGCCTCAAATACAGCGTGGAGGCTGAGGGGCTGCTGTAGGCGTCGGTGCCCACCTCACCCGGCGTGAGCACCACCCACCCCCCAGTCTGGCTCCTGCCGGCTTCTTTTCTCGCCTCCCGTCCTCTTGTCCTCCCCGACCACGTTCTGCCGCCACCAGTCTTCTCTCTGGTCCGAAGCACACCCTGCTCATTCCTACCTCCGGGCCTTTGCATCTGCTGCTCCCTCTGCTGAGTGCGCCCTGCACCATGTCCGCAGAGCTGGCTCCTTGCACTCAGGTCTCCGCTGCCTGGATCTTCCCCCCCACAGTGCATACCTGAAATAACTCCAGTCCCCAAGTCCCTCTGTAGCACTGCTCTGGTTCGGTTCCTTCAACACGCTGGGACCTACTCAAATGATCTCATTACTACTCAGCACTAGTCTGTCTCCCCCACTAGAACGACCGCACTCTGAAAACAGGGTCCATGCCTGTCTTGCTCACCACCCTCCCCTAGCATCCGGCAAAGTGCCTGGTACTCAACGTCTTTACTAAATATCTGATGACTGACTGAATGAATGGACAAGCACTGGGGGAGAATGGGGTTTTGAAGCTGTCGGAGGATCAAGTGCATTGCTAGAGACCTGGGCTCCTGTCCCGGCCCCACTTTCTTCTTCTGGTGTCAGTTTCTATATCTGTAATGTGGCCCAGATGGGTTCAATGGAATTAGGTTCCTCCTAACGGGGGAGGGGGGCCTCTTGGAGACATCAACTGTAGCATTTTGCTTTGGTCTTGTCTCCATGGCACACAGCTAAGGTAGGTTGGTCCATACTCCTGTTACCAGATAAATAACATATTTCTTCCCACTGAGATCCTAATTATTTAGTCATTTTGTCTGGTCTTTTTTTTTTTTTTTTTGAAAACTTTCCTGTTTCCGTTTCCCGCTGCACTAGCTGGACACATCTAGCATCAGCGCTGGGCACAAGTAGGTACTCCCCGGTAATATTCCCCAGGTGTGGTTCCCAAGTATTAACTGGATTCAAATGGGCTGGTTAGAAAGTCTTAACCTACAAACAGACTTAATTCATTAGGCCCAAGGTGATGGGATAGACTAAAAACTGGAGCCCAAAGATATCCAGGTTCTAATCCTTGGAAACTGTGAAAGTTACCTCAATATTGCAAAAGGGACTCTGTAGAAGTTGAGCGTGTTGAAATGAGAGATGTTTCTGGATGGCTGGGTCCTAGATGCAATCACAAGTATCCTTATACGAGTGAGATCTGACCACAGAAGAAGGCCATGTGACCACGGAAGGGAGAGGTGATGCTGCTGGCCTTGATGATGGAGGAAGGGGCCACAAAGAACGCACCTACTTCTACCTCCTCATTTTTCAGATGGGGACATTGAGGCCTAGGGAACTCTGCAGCAAGGCGGAAGGATGAGAGATGTTTTCATTCAGCTCAATCGGCTTTCAAATTCCACTTGGAGTTTTTAAAATGAGCGATTGTGCAGACTACCAATAGCTTTGCAATAATCTCATAATGACCCAATCGTGAAACGATTTAGCAATCCTGCTGCTAATTGTATTTGTGGATATAGCAATTGGGTAACTAGTTGGTTATTACTCATTCCCTAAGAGCCATACACATCACATTACAAGGAAGCTAATCTTAGAAATACTTGTTAACTCCGATGGTAATTACTAAGTAATTGGCTAGAACACGCCATTGTGAATTTAGCTGGAATATGCCAGGTAATTATCTGGTCTTATGTTCCCTGTAAAATAAATCCAGGGTCCAAAAATTGTTCCAGTTGGTTGGCTATCGTCCAACCATCGACCTCGGCCAGCCAATTATGAGGATGCAGGTGATTAATCAAATTACTCAAATATCGGGTTTCAAACTGAACATTCAGATAAGAGATCTGATGGTCAACAAGTGTGTGGTGCTAAATGGGAGAAGGGGGTGCACAGAACCCCCCCAAGATAAATATATAATGACACAATAATACGGAATAAATGCCACTTCTTTGGGGCTCATCTGGCTTCTTCACACAAAATACCAAAACACTTCAGAGACCAATTACATGTCCCAAAGCGGCAGAGTCTTTATCACGGTGCCAGGAAAAGGCTGCGCTATTTGTGAAATCTGCAGGCAGTTACGGCGCTTGGGGAGGGGGCAGGGCGTAGAGTTTGTACATAATAGAAAGGGGCCACAAATGCAGCTGGCTTACGGGATGAGTGACACATTTTCATAATGACCACTCATTTCTCAAGGATGACTGCTAACCGAATCTGTCCACTTCCAACTAGCCAGCCCCTGGGAAAGGGGTGAGGGAGGCTGGGGGTACTGGGCTCCACCAGTAATGCTTAGGAAGTCAGAGCGTGGGGGGCAAGAGGTCCTTAGAAGGGCCAGGCAACAGATAGGAGATGATGGGTTTGGAATTTCTAGTTTGGGGATGTCAAAAAGAGGGGTTAGAGGGCCAGAAGGTGAGGAGCTGAGCAGAGAGAAATTTGGGAGTGACAGACTGGTGGGGGCAATAGGCAGAAGACCAGTGTGTGTGTGTGTGGGGGGGGGGAGACCACCTTCCAACCAGATGTGTGCACCCCAAATAAAGGGCTATGCATGAGGACGATACATTCTGGATAACAAAGAGGAGGAAAGGAGCTGTGGCAGGTTGTACAAGTGGCCACAAATTGTCCCTCTCCCTACATCTGTGGCTCTGCAATGTGACATTGCAAACCCTCCCCTGCAGAGGCAGACTCTTGTCTCTCCATGCCTTGAATCTACGTGACTTGCTTTGGCCAATGTCCATCGGTCAATGCAACACGGACAGAGGTGTGGAAGGCACTTGCCCATCAGGGCTCGACCTCTTGTTGCCCTTGGAACCCTGAGACCACCCTGGGAATGAGCCCAAGCTAGGCTGTTGGCAGATAAGAGACCATGAGAAGGGGAATTGGGGCACCCCTGCTGATAACCTGCCAACCTGTAGACAAGTTAGTGAGGACACCCAAGAGTGACCAGCCCCCTGGCCTGACCTGCCAGCTGACCACAGACACGTCCAAGAGCCCAGCCATGGGGCCTGGCTCTGTGTAGAATTGTCCACAGAATAGAGGAAAACTCTGAAGTCCTGGGGATAGTTTGTTACTCAGCACAAGCTTACTGATATACTCACCTCCTAAGAACAGCTCAGCCCCTGAATATGAGCGGGGTATTTGAGAGCCTCTTCTGTCCCATTCAGGGTTGAGAACCACCATTTTTACCCTGGTTTACGGAGAACTGAAGGGCCATCTCTCAATCTCCAATCCTTTGAAAACATTTACCACTGGACACATGGATTCAATCCATCATCTGCATAATCAATGCTAATGGACAATAACACACCTTCTTCTGACCACTGAGATCTTATAAATGGGCTCAAGGATGCTTTGTATCACAAGGGAACAGACCAAAGACACACCAGCTCTTCCCTGAGCTCACAGCTCCTGCCAAGATGAGAGGCTTGTGTATTCAGGACCTTATCACTTGAGCAGAGAATGGGAAGGAGAGAGCTGACTCTTGGCATCCCAGGCCACGCCAGGAATGGCCCTGCTGTGGCCAGTCCTAATGCAATGGGAGAGCAACAACCAGAGTTTAAAAACACACCAAAGGATTGTTTCACAACTGTTCAACTGAAACGAAAGCTATTTTTTTTTTTCAATGCCCCATATCACTGGGTGATCTCAGAGAGCAAGTTCAGGAAAGTTGCTATCATCTGACATTTTTTTAATGTCAGATTTTCTCACTACCCCTTCTGTGCAGCTAGAGATCAGGGATCCTGGATATTTAAAATAGCAATGCTAAAGCCCTGCAAATGTTATCTGCTGCTTTAATGAAAGCCAGAATAACAGTCATCACGATCTTAGCCCACGGTTGGCAAAACTAGGGCCTGAGGGCCAAATCCAACACATCACCCGCTTTTATAAGTAAAGTTTTATTGGCACCTGGCCATGTACCTCCATTTACATCTTGTCTTTGGCTGCTTTCACATCCCAGTGAACAGAGTTGAGCAGTTGCTACAGAAACTGTATGGCCCATAAAGCCACCAATATTCACTACTGGGCCCTTTACAGAAAAAGTCTGCCATCCCCTCCCTGATTGGATCCAATCAGTTCAATTTACACACGGAGACAGTGAGTCGCAGCGATGTTGTTTCACAAATACTTGGAGCACAGGGGGACCCGAACCAACTTTCCTACCTTCCCACTTATGGTGCTCTCCCTGTGGCACTGCTCTGCCAAAGAGTTTTAGTATCAAAAGTATTTTCTGGAATCTCAAATCGTAAAACCACATAATTGTGAATGGCACAGCTAGAGATGCTCCATTCGCCAGAATGACGCATTAACCAGAACCCAGCTCCCTTCTCAGCTCTGCCAGAGGCAGGACTCTGGGAATCAGTCCATGGCGGGGGTGAGGGGCGGGGAGCCCCGGGCAGGACTGACCTGGTGATGATGGCCAGGTGGGGCGGGCTCATGCAGGCGCCCATGAAGAGCACCACGTTCTCATGGCGTGTCTGCCTGTAGGCCATCACCTCCCGCTTGAAGGCCTTGAGCTGCTCCTCGTTATCCCTCTCGATGTCAATCAGCCGGATGGCCACCTCGCCATGCCAGCGGCCGTGGTACACCTGCCCGAAGCGGCCCTTGCCGATGAGCTCGCCGACCTCCAGTTGCTCAAAAGGGATGTCCCACTCCTGCAGGAAGATGCTGGTCTGGCTGGCCTTGCGCGGGAAGCTCCGGGCTGAGAGCAAGGACAAGTTCATCTCCTCGAAGTCGTCCTCTGACTCTTCGGCCTCATCATGGCCCTCTTCATTCTGTGGCCGGAGAAGGGGAGAGAGGTCAGAGCGGCTCCTGCCCCTGCCCCGCCTTCCCATGAAGTCCCCCCGGGTGTAGACATGTCTCTAGGTGCATTTTCAGCTGGTGGGGACATGTATCTGTTTGCCCCAGGTCGCTCTTGTCTAGAATCGTAGAAGATGAAGGAGCTGAAAGGGAGATCATGATAATCCAATGCTCTTGTGCCAAGGGGGAAACTGAGGCTCATAGAGGAGAAGCGCTAGGGGACCACCCATACTGGTTTGCTGGACTTTCCTGGTTTGGGCACTAGAAGTCCCCTTGGGGAGGGGGTGCCTGGCTGGCTCAGTCGGTAGAGCATACGACTCTTGATTTCGGGGCTGTAAGTTTGTGCCCCACATTGGGTGTAGAGATGCCTTAAAAATGAAAGTCCCCTTGGGAAGCCCTTTGGTCCCAGCAAACTGGGATGGTTGGTCACCCTGGGAGGTTGCCCAGCTCTACATCACACAGCCAGGCAGAGCTAGGGCTAAGAAGCAGGTGTCTCGACTCCTAATCTCCAACGCCCTCCGATTCTGCCGTGATGTTTTGACCTGCCTACTCCTGCGTGTGTAAGAAAGACAACAGGCTGACCTGTGGGTGCAACAGATGTCTGCACAGAACACCTCAATATGGAGTGCCTTTTGCTTCCCCCCAGGGGATTTGGAACCGATGAGTCAGAAACGGGGAGAGGTCAGAGCTCCTCCGCACAGGCCAGATGCCCGGGCTTCCTCGGCAGCCGTGGCAGCAGGGCGTAGAAGGGAGGCTCATAGGATGGGCTTACCAATCAGACAAAATGAGCTGGAATCTGGCCTCTGTGTGACCTTGGGCAAACTGCTTGACCTCTCTGAGACTTGCTTTTCTCATCATAAAGTGGAGCTAATAAAATCCGCCCCCCCCCACCCTGGGGGATGGTGTGAGGTTTTCAATGAGAGGAAAGCCTCTTAAGTCCCTTGCACACACCTGACCACCTGTATCCAACAGCCCCTGGGCTTCCGGAGAAAATGCAGATTCCTGGGCCCTACCCAGAGCTACCGAATCAGAAAAGAGCAGGCTGGGGCCAGAACTCTGCATTTTTATCCCTGCACGCCCACACAGCCCAGGAATGCTTAGGTGTGACCACCGCAATCCTTAGATGCTGAAGGTCCAGGGACCTGCCTTCCCAGCATGGTGGCCGGGAGTGCCCTGGCCCTTGGGTTCTTTTGCTTAAGTGAGGAAGCAGCAGGAGCTCCAGCCAGTGGGGATTCCCAGAGGCTTGGGGCCTGACGAGGCAGCCTGAGGTCTTCCTGACCCCAAACCTGAGCAAGCTGTCCCTTGTAGCACACTCAAGAGAAATGACATAGTCTCTGTTGGCTTCCCCCAGGATAATTTTTCAACTAGCCCAGTAATTGCAGAAAGGACACGATTTTCTCTGGACACCCTAGTTCTACTCCCTTCACTTCAGGACACAGTGACAGGGCTGAGGAGTTCATGGTTCTTACCCAGGACACTTCATTTATTCCTCCAGTAGTTTTGACCAATGGGAAGAAGCCCCAAAACATTCTCAAAAGCCCGCCAAGCTCAGTGTCCCCAGGGACACTGCTCCCCCAATGTGTTCTTTGGAAAGCAGTGGGGCATATCCCCCTCGGTATTCCCCTGGCCCTAAGTTGATTTTTCAACTAAGAATTCAAATCTCTTGCCAACTTCTGCACAACTAGCTTTTCCATGATGCACACCATATAACGGCCCATTAGGCTTGGTGCTGGGAGGGCCCCCCCCCGCTTGGACACCCCCACCCCTTGTCAGTTGTCCCAGAGTTAGAACATCCATCAAACAGGTTTGTCCCCGTCCCCACCCGCCCCAAGCCCTCTGAGTCATTAAAGTCATCCGTCGACTCTGCCAAGCACTGGGCAGCCCCAGGAGAAAGGTGTTTCTCCCTCTCTGAATCTCACCTCTGAGGTTGGCTCCACTTCAATTTGAAGTAATGGATTTCCTTCCAAGCTTTAAAGAAAGAAAAATAAATGTGACCCTCAGGTGAAAAGGGAGGTCGGTGTCTTATTTATCCACGTATGAAGAGTCTTGGAATGAGAAGGCCTCACCATCAAGGCTTTATCTCAACTTTCACTTCAACACTTGTGTCTAAAATAATCCATAACCTCGCCATGAAGAAGAAATGACAAGGACACTGTTTTAAATAGATTTTCGGGGCTGCTCAGGGCTCACTTTTTCTTTATGGCTTTGGTTTCCACTAATCTAGCAGCTTCCTTATACATTGGCCTAAATGCCATAGGCGGAAGAATCCTCAGAGCTCTGGGTGTTTGCTAGGAAAGAATTAATGAGATTGCTAAATTCACTTGGGTGAATTTCAGAATCTTACGGGAGAACCCTGGGGTTCGGGATTACAGGTACCCCCTGCTTTCTGAAAGCTGGCATCACGCCACTTTGCTTTTACGAAAGATCTATGTTGGTATCTACCAAAAGAAGTTCAAAGAGGGTTTTTGCTTTTATGAAAGAGGGTAAAAAGTGAACATGGCATTCAGCTTTTGTTTTGCAGCAAGCCATTATAGAGGCAGCGTGCACCCCGAGCAGTGTGAGGGGTGCCTCCAAGCTCCTTCCCAGGGAGCTACCCTCGGCATCTCAGCATTCAGCCACCAGAGCTTTGACCTGTGTCCACGAGCATCTGGGTTTCATCTAAGAGAAGTAATTTTGGGGGCTGGGGGACACCCCCAATTTTTCCATATAAATGAATGATAATTGCTTCTTTGCATGACACCAATTTGCCTCATGAAAGGTTTCATGGGAATGCTCTACTTTCGGATAGCGGGGAAAAGCTGCCTGTGCCAGGACCGGTGTGAGGCCATCAGAGGGATACGGAGTCGAAACTGGCATGGCTCCTGACTTTGAGGAATATTATATCACTACCGAAGGGACTAAAGCAAGCGTGGAGATACTGTGCAGAAAGGCTAAAAGTGACACAGGACAAAAGTTAGGTATGAATCGAGTAAATGGAGTACGATGGAAATGCCCCAGGGAGATTACTGGATGTATTTTGAAAATTCTCAGTGTTTGAGTTAGTTGGATGTTACCAATCACATCAAATTGGGAAGTGTGGAATGAGAATGAGCGAAACCGTATTGGACTGGAAGACACAGGTGTGTGTGTGTGTGTGTGTGCACATGCAGATGTGTCCATGCACGAGGGTGATGCAGTCATGAGCTCCTGAGCTGCAGCTGTGCTAAGCGTGGGCTCGTGCTACGTATGGGTGCTGGGGGACACAGTGTGTTTGCGTGTGTGAGTGCTAAGTATGTATCAGCTACCACGTGAGTACAATGGGATGTGCTCTGTGTAGGGGTTGTTCTGGGTGCATGGGAGTTGGGTGTACCCCCTGGGGATGTTAGGGGCATGCCGTATGTTGACAGCGTAGCTGGGTATGTACTGGGGTCTGAAGGGATTGTCGGAGCACATGGAATGTGATGGGGATGTGAGGTGTTTCTGGGGGTGTGTTTTCAGAGAAGAGGATGTGTGTGTGTGTGTGTGTGTGTGTGTGTGTGTAGTGCGGTGGGGAGACAGTAACTGGGCTGCTGAAGGCAGAGAAAAGCTGGAAACAGTGGCAGGAAAAAAATCACAGTGAACACCTTGCGCCCTTCCTATTTCCCTTGGGGAAGCTTAGCAGATCCCCCTACCCACCCCTCATTTGAGGGGCCACTGCTCTCCTGACCCTGAGACCCCAAGAAGCTGCCGACCCTGCAGACGGGGTCAGTCCACTTGCTGGAGGGGCTCCAGGTGAGAGGGAGCCTGAGACGCTAGAGGAATTAAAAGAAGGGGAAAGAAGGGTGGGTCACAAAGTGCTGTCTGCTTTCATATTAAGGAGCTATTTACAGTACGGAATGAAACCACCCAGTGACAGCTGAAATGCTGGGAACTTAACGGCTTGGGGCAATCTGGGTGGAACAATGCAGCTGGAGTTCCCCCTCACACCCAACGACAGAACAGGCAGCCCTCCTCTGCTTGCATCAGGCGTGATTACGGTAGCCCAGCGATTAAATAATTTCCTTCTGCGAAGAGTTAGAGCCCATCGCTCCACGCACGATCAAGCAGATCGCAGTCAGCTACGGACTGTAGTTCGCTGGCACGCCCTGACTGCCAGTTAATAACCTGGGGTTCATCCTGCACAAATTGTGGAATTGGTTTACATGCAGCAGAGAAACAATCCGGAGCTAGATGTCAGCACGATATCCCCGGCAAATTGCTGCTCCTTTGATGTCACAGATGTACCATTTGTCCATAACCCGGGTCCAAAAGGATGGAGTAGTTAGGAGAGCCAGAAGAACAACCAAGGAGGCAAACATGGGAGTTGGGAAGCTGGCCAAATCGAAATCAGGTCCCTAGCATGCCCCCCACTTTGGCCGCAACCGAAGAAGTCAAGGAAGGTGGTTTCACTTGGGGCTGCACCACCAGCAGACCACCTGGAAATAGAGTCTGTGTCCCGAGGATGCTTAAGATGCCACATGCAAAGACGTCCATTGCAGTGTCGTTTACGACAGTGCAATATGGGAGGATAGGAGATCTGGCAATCGGGAAATGGTTAAAGACATTTTTCTACATCAATAATGATATTTTACAGCCATTAAAAACAATGCCTATAAAGCGTCTAGAATAATACAAAAAATGTGAGGCTATAGCTTTACGGGATGACAAAGCTGGCTGGAAACTGTGTAGACCATGAAACACAAGCAGGTAAAATATGAATAGAAAGAGCACATGTCAAAGTTCTAAGAGCGGTCCGACTATGAGTGATGATTTTTCCTTTCTTTTTTTACAGAACAGTCCATGTTTTCCAAAATTAGCTTAGATTATTCTTATAATGGTATAAACCAGAGGTCAGCAAACTTGGTACGTAAAGGGCCAGATAGGAAATATTTTGGACTTGGCAGACCCTACAGTCTCTGTTGCCACTACTCAGCTCTCCTGTTGTACTTTGAAAGCCACATAGACAGTATGTTGTAAACAAGTGGGCGTGGCTGTGTTCCAATAAAACTTTATTTATAAAAACAGGTGGCAAATTGGATTTGTCCCATAGACTGTAGTTTGCTGATCCCTCGTGTAAAGGTGGGGGGACAATGACATAGGGTAACTGTTCTTTCATTAAGCTCTAGCTATTGCAGAACATTATCTTTCTGATCGTAGAAGAGTCTGGGGATCCTAAGGAAATGGTCAGCCCCTGGAAATCACCCTTGACAAGCAGGGCCAGGACACAAAGCAGAGCTGACTCGTCCATTGGGCCCAGGCTGGGAGACGCTGTCACGCTCTCTCCTTCTCTTTACCTAAATCATTCCCTAAGTCTCTCTCTCCCCCAGTCTCCCACACCATCAATTCCAGAAAGAGGAAGACAGAAGACAGCAACCCTGAGCAGACTGAAGACCCAGGACAGGGGAAGGAGGTCTCTGTTCCACTTACATTGGATTCGAGGTCACTGGATGCAGGATGACCTGGGGCGCCCGGGTCGGTGTCTCTGGCACCGGCACCACATCTGAGAAGCAGACATGAGACAGTCAGAAACCCAACATAGAGTCCACAACCTCCCCCAAAGACCTGATTCCTGGGAGATGGGGCAGCTAGGAACATCTCATCAGATCATGGGTCCCTGGGGCTGGCCAATCCCTTCTTTCCCTTCCTCAATCACTTGAACTTTTCCTGCTTACACGCACCCAAGATGGCACCCTGAACAAAATACCCCACTGATAACGAGGGGGTTGCCAGAGCCCCGAGCCTCTGACCTGAAGCACCCACTGGTCACCTCTGAATCACCCCCTATTCCTCAGTTCTCTTTGGGCTGGTGAGGCCACTTGGTTTCACATCTCCCGGTGCCCAACTCAGTCCCTCTGACCACCTCTCCCCTGCCACGTGGCTCTGGACCCCTCCTCACCCCGGCCCGTCCTTCTACTGCAGACCACCTTCTCAGGCCTTTCTGTTGTGCCTCGGAATCTCCTTGGTACCACGGTGCCCGTGGGACCTCCCAGCTTCTCCTGTCCCGCCTCCATGGCTTGCCATGATCTGGGGGCTGGTGGTTCCACTGCCACCATCTTTGAGCTTGCCCACCCCAACAACCCTTGCCTTCATCCATTCCAGCAATGCGTGCCCCTCCGCAGGCTTCTCAGGGGGCCCTGAGCGCACTCACGGACTCACCTGGGAAGATGAACTGCTGCTTGTATTTGTAGTAGTGGGACGCTTGTAAAAGAATGAAAACACCAAAGTCAGTGCTGTCCCGGGGTTGTCCCTTCGAATAACAAATCGGGCTCTTGCAGCCACCGTGTGGGTTCTCTGCCCACACTCGAGGGTTCCCAGATTTCTGCAGAACACCCTAAATCACAAGGGCCTGAGGGCCTGTATAAAAGAACCAGGGCTCTACACAACCAAGCCAACCCTCCCACCTGCAGCTCCCTGAAAATAGAGCAACTCAACTTGGAGAGTCACCCAGAGCACAGTCCCATTTTTGTTAACTGCATAGGGACACACACACACACACACACACACACACAGAAAGTCTTTGTCAAGCCATCTCTAAAATATTCAATTTTTCCCTTTGCCAGAGTGATTAGAGAGGCTTTAAAAAAATCCTTTATGACATAATGAGATAGCATCTCATGCCTGTTAGGATGTCTACTATCAAAAAGATAAGAGAGAGGTACTGGCGAGGGTGTGGAGCAAGGGAAGAGTGTGGGGCACCGTTGGTGGGGATGCAAACCGGTGCAGCCACTGTGGAGAACAGTCTGGAAGGTCCTCAAACAATTAAAAAACAGAACTATCACAGGATCCAGCACACCCACTTTTCGGAATATATCCAAAGGAAATGAAATCGCTATCCTGGAGAGATACCTGCACTCCCATGTTCATTGCTGCAATATTTATAGGAGCCAAGACATGGAAGCAACCCAAGTGTCCACTGATGGATGAATGGATAAAGCAAATGGTGTGTGTGTGTGTACACACACACACACACACACAATATATTTATATATGTACATACAACGGAATACTATTCAGCTATAAAAAGGAGGAAATCCTGCCATTTGCAACCACATGGATGGACCTCGAGGGCACTGTGCTAACTGAAATAAGTCAGACAGAAAAAGACAAATACTGTATGATATCAGTTAATACGTGGACTTTAAAAAAAAACCATATTCATAGAAACAGAACTGGATGGGTTAGGGGGCTGGCTGAAGGAGGTCAAAAGGCACAAACTTCAAGTTATAAGACAAATAAGTCCTGGGGGTGTAACGTGCATCATAGTGACTACAGTTAACAATACTGTTTCGTATATTTGGAAGTTGCTGAGAGCGTACATCTTAAAAGTTCTCATCACCAGGAGAAAAATTTGTAGCTGTGTGTGGTGATGGATGGTAACTAAACTTAAGAGTGGTGATCATTCTGCAACTTCATACATGCATCAAATCATTCTGTGGTGCGCCTTCAACTTATACAATGTTGTATGTCAAATATACTTCAATAAAAATATGCATTTCCTGTGTTTTCCAAATTTTTGCTTTGAGCATTGTATTAGTGTTCCTGCTGCTGCTGTAACAAATCACCTCCCACTCGGTGGCTTAAAACAACATGTTTACCTTCTTATAATTCTAGAGGTATGAGAAGTGTGGAATAAGTCATAAAGGGCTAAAATCAAGGTGTCGGCAGGGCTGGTTCTTTCTGGAAGCTCCAGAGGAGAATCTGTCCCTTGCCTTTTCTGGTTATTTAGAGCCTGCATCTCTTGGCCCAGAGACCATCACTTCAGTCTCTGCTCTGGTCCTGACATCACCTCCTACCATCTCTGACCTTCTTGTCTCCCTCTTGTAAGGACCCCTGGGGTTACATTTAGGATCCATCTGGATAATCTAGAGTAATCTTCCCACCTCAGAATCCTTAACTTAATCACATCTGCAAAGACAAGTCACATAGAAAGTAACACATACACAGATTCTGGAATTAGAGCCATAGCCATTTTTGGGGTACCATTATTCTGCCCACCATGACCATGAGTTGATCGCTATATTTAGGGATAAAAGAAATTTCCTCAACTTCGTTGCTGATTTTGCCTACACTTTATTTCACTTCCGGTTCACTCACCAGAGGCCAGCTCTTCCAGATATCCCCGAGGTTTCTGATGTTACCAGTTACTGGTAACAGTGGGATGTAGGTGGGAACAGGGGAGACAATGGTATCATGGGCATTGGGGAGGTCACACAGAGTTTCATCTCCCCAAGCAGAGGAAGTGAGCAGGAATGGGGTCAGATAGGAGTCTGAATTGATGAATATGCTTCCAGAAATAATTTTATTATGTCCGGGGCAACCTACGACTGGCACATTGACTCACCCAGAATTCATGGAGTGGATCAGAGGCTGGGGCCAGGGGTTGACAAACCATGGCCCACGGGTCAAGTCTGGACCATCACCTGTTTTTGTTCATAAAGTTTTATTGGAACACAGTCTCACGCTCATTCATTTGCATGCCGTCTCTGGCTACCGTCATGCTACAACGTCATAGTTGAATATTTGCGACTGTATGGCCCACAAAGTCTAAAATATTACTATTAGGCTCATTATAGGAAAAGTTTGCTGACTTCAAGGGTAAAGCAAAGAGGAGCTGGACAGCAGGAGTAGGACGCTGATCCTAGAGGGTCGAATCCTCGCTCTTCCTTTGGCTGTTTGTAAAAGCTTAAGCAACTCAGAGTCTCAGTTTCCATGTGTGTAAAATGGGGATAAGAACAGTCTTTCCCTCCCAGGGCTGAGATCATCATTACATGAGATCAGAGTGCATAGTAGAGTTAAATAAGCATTAGCTGCAACGGTTAAGCCACTATCTTTCTAAGCTCTCTTAATAAACAGACAAGAATGACTTATAATTAAGAGAAAATCAATTTCAAAGAGCAAACTCATTAGCTGCCCCTGAGGTTGGAACTGATTTATAAACTCTCTCAGGACAGACAGCAAGTGTTGGTATCTCAGGATCCCAAGGGCCCTTGCACCAGTGGGTGCACGACTCATGTTTGTGGAATTAATCAACTCTCTTCTAGCACAGCAATCCCCAAATATCCCAGATAGTTGGAATCTGAACGGATGCATTTTCTAATTCTGGAAAATGAGGTGCCCGAGACGGGAAGCAACTCATTCGAAGTCACAGAGCAGAGCTTTAAAAGAGAACCAATCTCCGTGATTTCAAGGACCTTTTCCTGTTAGATAACTTAGGTTTGTTTTTTGTTTTTTGTTTTCATTGCACCCAGTCAACAAGGGGCTAAAATTAAAAAGGAAAAACTACCTGGGGTTCTCAAGAGGCTTAGCTGATCTCTTCCCTCCCCAGCTGGGAGAGGCGATCTGGCGTCTGCAGAAAAGGCTAGCTGGTAATGATCTTTCACAGAGCAGCAGCTGGGGGAGGGGAGGGAGAGGGAACACTGCTCCAAAGAGGGACAGGTGTCAGGCAAAGTGGACGCTGGCAAAGGCCTCCATTCGCAGAGCCAGCCCCCTCCTCGACCCCTCTGTGTGCCGGGGAACAGCTCGTTCCTGACGACTGACAAGGAGGGAGTGGCCAGAGAGGAGACAAGGCGTGGCCGTGAGCCCTGTCCTTGCCGACAATAGCCACCAGTGAGCAGCAGCTCCAACAGGAAGCCGATGAACCCGAATGGCCTGTCCAGGAAAGCTGAGTGGCCCCCCTCACTCTCCGGAATGGAAGAGGACTCGGGACCTGGGAGGCTTCAGGTGGCCCGGAGGCCAGAGACATAAGCAGACCGCTTTGAAGGCATCTCTGCTCTGAAGCCCTCCTTCCTTCCCTCCTTCCCTCCTTCCCGAAGGTCTCCCCCCAAAAGCAGTCTGAGTGGTTTTCGAGGAGGAAGGATCTAGAAGGAAGGAGGGAGGATAAGTCATCTCCTGCCCACACCTTTTAAATAAAATTCAGATTTAAAATGCAGATCCCTGCCATGCCCTGCCAGGGAGGAGTCCCTGCAGCTCTGAGTCTTCCTTGGTGCTATTTTTCCCTTTTTCGTGGCACTCAGGTCATGGGGACATTTTTTTCAGCTCTTTCCTGGGGCAGGGCCTTTGTACATGCTCCCCTCCCTCTGCCTGGTCAACTCTCCCCCATCTTTGGAACTCAGCTACCTCTGACCCTTCAACCCAAACTTGTTCTCCCTCTTGAATTTGCAGTGGGGTTGTTGTAACGTTGTTCTTTTCCTTCAGAGCACTTGTCGCAACTTATTTCAGGTGTACGTCCGTGTGGCTAACCCATCTCTCCCACGAAGCTGCAGACTCCACGAGAATGGGGACTGGCAGGCCGAATAATACCGCTCTACCCAAGAGGTCCACATCCTCATCGCTGGAAACCATGACAAAAGGGCCTCTGCAGGTATGATTAAGTGAAGCATCATGAGATGGGCAGGTTATCCTGGATCCTCTGGGTGGGCCCTAAGTGTAATCACATGGGTCCTTACAAGAGGGAGGCAGACGGATCCAAGTCAGGGATGGAGAGTCAGAGATGTGATGATGGGAAGAGGTGTGGAGCCACGTGCAAAGAAGGGATGCAGAGAGCCACTAGAGGCTGGGAAAAGGCAAGGAGGTGGATTCTCTCCTAGCCCTCCCCCCCCCCGCCAGGCGAAACCAGCCCTGCGGACACCTTGATGTTTAGCCCGGTGAAACTGACTTTGGACTTGTGACCTCCATCACTGTAAGGTAATACATTTGGGCTGTTTTAAGCCACTAAGCTTGTGGTGACTTGTCACAGAAGCCACTGGAAACTCATACAGGGCACGGCTGGTTTGTGTACTGCTCCAAATCTAGCGCCTCGTAGAGTACTGGTACATAGTAGATGCTCAATAAATATGTGTATGGAACTAGATGGGCAAATGCAGTCTGAGGGCCAGAAGATGACTTGAAGAGAGAAAACTGCAGCCCTGGGAAGTGCAAGAATTTCAAGTCATTCATTCGTTCATTCAATCCCTCCCTCATTAAAAAAAAAAAACACAAAACATTTAATTAGTGCCTTCAGCAGTAGGCAATGTGTTGGGTTTCAGGTATAGAGGGGTGAATGAAGCAGACATGTGTCTTAGTCTCATGGAGCTGACAATTCTGATTGTCATGAGGACACGGGCACTAAATAAGTTAATAAATGAACAAGATCATGGCGGGGAAGGAGGAGCACTGTTGAGCATAAAGAGGGAATCAGGGTAGAGTAAGGGGAGGTGGGCGGTTCTGCAAGGGAGGAAACCCCCATGAGCCACTCACCAGGTCAAACATGGCCCTGGGATTTGGAAGGGAGTGGCGGAGAACAAGGAGGTTGATCACAGATCCTACCAAGTCTATACCTGATGCTCTTGGTTTCCTAAATAAAAACTCTTCTTTTGTATGTCATGAGGTTAACAAGTGTGCCAAATGCCTATTAACCCCACGGACCCTTTTGGAAAAGAACGTTCTAGGACCCTTTTGGAAAAGAACGTTCTAGATCAGTCAATGCTGGGGACTGGTTATGCCTAGGCATTAGCTGGACTAGTCTTTAGAAAACTCAACAACTGGCACGGAACCATGGTCAAAGCTGCTTTCCCGTCAGCAAAGGTTCACAGTCAAGAGTGTGACAGTGACTAGGGCCTTATACGAACAGGATAGGCACTTGTCATTCTGAGGGAATTTTGCTAAAACCTCCTAAGTCAAGGGAGAAGGTCTGGCTGCTCCTCTGGAAGGTCCTATTTTGCTTTCCATTTCAACATTGCATTTTATTATTACTATTCAATTACAAAACTGGTGCATGCTCCTTGGGATTCTATACGTTGTAGCAATGCATAAAATAAAATTATTCTTCTTAGAAATAGCTGCCATGAAGTTCCTACAGACTTTTTTTTTGATGCATATACACAACTATATATACACCCACATATAAACATATGTATACAACTATATATAATTTTAGAATACATAGGACGTTATTATACCAACTGCTTTGCAAATCACTTATCTTCCCACTTAAACCGCATTGTGGATCTCTTTCATGTCAGGGTATCTACAAGGAGCCACCCCGTTCTTTTTAAGGGCCCCTGAATCTTTGGTTATGCAGATAAATTACAGTGTATCAACCATTCCCCTCTTGGGTTGAGTCCAGACTCTCCACTATTGCAATGAAATCTCATGTATAGATCCCTGTGCCTTATGCAAGCATATCTGTATATAAAGTCTTAGAAGTGATATTGCTGGTCCAAGGAATGTACATATAAAACTTTGATAGACAATGCAAAATTACCTTCTCAGGAGGTTGAATTCAATTCCTACTCCTAACACCAGGGTATATGAGAATTTCCTCTTTATTTCCAGAATTCTGATTAGGCCCATATGAATTAGCAGTGATGGTGAGAAATGCCAAAAATGGTAGCCATGGTATTTTTTTTGTTTTGTCTTCTTTTTTTTTTTTTTATTTTTAGAGAGAGAGCAGGGGAGGGGAAGAGGGAGAGGGGGAGAGAGACTCTCAAGCAGGCTCCACACCCAGCGTGAAGCCCAATGTGGGGCTCGATCTCACGATCCTGAGATCACAACCTGAGCCAAAATCAGGAGTTGGATGCTCAACCAACTGAGCCACCCAGGCACCCCAGCATTTGTTAAGATCTTCAGTGAGACAGGCACTCTGCTCAGCTCTGTACGTCTATGATGAGGTTTAGTCCTTCAATGATTCTATAAAGCAGACACTATTATTATCCCCATTTTACAGAGGAGGAAACAGAGGCACAGAGCGGTAACTGATTTGCTCAGCATGATGCAGGTATTAAGTAGTAGAGGTAGCATTTGAACCCAAGCAGCCCAGCTCCAGAGCTCAGAGGACCTTGCAGCTCACTCCCCAAATATCACTGTCATGAGATGCTCCGGAGTAGGTGCAGATCCTCTGGCAGGCGAGCAGCAAATCAGCAAGGACCCCGCCTTGGGGACCTGACCGAAGGAATGAAGAAGCTCAGGGAGACAGCGATCAGCCCTGGTTAACCAGGTGTCTTGTCTAAAGATTCCAGCAGAGTCTTTGAGGGACAGAAAGAGTTATGGCACTCTGACACATGGTTCTCCCTTAAGAGGTCCTTTCTCAGCCCCTGGCCATTAAGCAAGCAGCAAACAGTTTCAGGGACAGTACCCCGAAGTCAGTGTCTGAGGGTGGGGTGGAGCAACTCTAAGAAAGCACCCAAACCCACTTCTTCCCAGATTTGGGGGGTTCATGAAGCGTCAAAGCGTCTTTCTTCCATTCACCCCATTCCAGGGAAACGGAAATGGACAACCCCAGAGGTGACAGTGGGAGCCCCCAGCCTGTGGGCATAGCGGGCAATTTTGGCCTAACTGACTCGGGGAAGCACATGCCAAGATGATTCCAGGTGCTGACTCACATTATGGTCTTTGGTGGCTGCCAAGTGAGTGGCCTTCCCACCGGACAGAGACAAGACTGCCTCAGGCTTGAACTTCACAAAAAAAATCCCCATATTGCCAAGACTTCAAAATGTGCCCCATTCCTATGGACATAGCTCTGATCAAAACAGTGTGGGCAGGTGACAGCTTGTCCTTAAATCAGTAGTTGTATCTGGGTGCTGCCTAGGTGTGGGAGTGGACCCCCATTTGCCTACCCGCCACTCACTCGTGGCTGAATAGGCTTGGAAGTGTGACCTGTAGCTGAGGACCTGGATTTCTTCCCCTGCATGAAGCTCGCTGGCTCAGGTGGAGATCAGCCCCTATATCAGCACTGTCCAGTGGAACTTTCTGTGATGATAAAAATGTTCTATACTCTGCACTGGCCAATATGGCAGCCACCAGCCCCAAGTGGCTACTGAGTAATCAAAATGTGGCTAATGTGGCCAAGGAATTAAAATGTTAATTATATTTAATTTTAATTCATTTAAATTTAAATAGCCACATGTGGTTAGTGGGCACCATACTGAATAACACACATCTAGATTCTGGTTCCCATTGGCCAAGCCAGACCTCATCCCTCCAGCCTCCTTCCTGCAAATATGGCCAAGCAAGGAAGTCCTTAGGGCCCTAGAAGAAGAAGTGAGCTGGGCTGGACCTCAGAAGAGGTGGGAACACTCTTAGATCTGGCCCTCCTGAGCAGAGAGGGATCTCCTTCTTAAGTCTAATGACAAAGGAGGCCAAGAAACCAAACATCTCATGAGTGGCTTCTCCAGCATCTCATAGCCCGGTGCATGGTCTCAGGTCAGCAGCCAGGTACCCTGGAATTCTTGAGCTGGGAGAACCTTCTGGATCCTCTTATCCATCTGTATCCTTTCAGGGGTGGGAAAACTGAGGTCACAGGTCACATGGCAGGAACAGGGCAGAACTGGATACTGAATCCAGGATTCCAGCTGTTCATTCTGAGCCCTATCCTGACATCTGGAGTAAGACTCCATCTGAATGCAGCCCTGCTCAGCTGTGGTCCCAGGATCCTGATGCCAATCCCAAGCTATTTAGCTTATAAGACCACTGCCAGCTCCAGTAGATGCCCTCCCCCCCATGACTGACACTTAGTTGCAGACACTGGGTTGCTGTTGACCAAAAAGCCCTTTACCTCTCTGAGCCTCAGTGTCCTCATCTGTAAAATGGAGCCGAGAAGACTTCATGGCTACCCTAAAGATCAAATAAGGTAATAGTGTGGTGATTGCCCTGCCTATAGGAAGACTCAACCACATGCCTTCAACCCATTGCCTTTGAGCACGGACTGACCCGGACATGGCTCTGGTTCAAGCACAACCCCCCCGCCCCCGCAGCGACACCCCAAGTGCAGAGGTACCTGGCAGGTTGAAGTTCTTCTGCTGCCTCGTGCACTGAGGGGAAGGGTGCAGGGGAGAAGGCGGTGTGGCGCTGGGAGGGAGGGGGGGTGCTGGCGAGGAAGGCGTGGAGGACGTTGTGGATGAGGGATTGCTGCTAGAGTCTGGCTGGTAAGGGACAGGGATGTGGTCCTGCAGAAAGAAAACGGGGGAGGGGCCAGGGGGAGGCAGAGAAGCAGAGATACAGCAGTGAGAGTGAGCAAGCAGGAAGGAACCCCACGCGAGCATTCTTAGCACCCCCTGCCCTCAGCCACCAGACCCTTCCCACGTCCCACCTGCTTCATCAACCCCGCGCACCAGCTGGTTTGCATCCAGCTGTGGAAGGAACAGTTTCTGGCATCAATTTCCCGCCCGCTGTCTGGACTCCAGAGCAAAATGTTACCACATAATGAAAGCCACATAGGTGACAGCCACGCTCCCTGTGCTTTTTGATTTTGGAAAGTCCCATGCCAAGGTGCCCAGAGCATCTTCCCATCCTAACACCTCTCCTCCTGAGTGTTTATTAAAGAATCAACAGCCTGACAGCTCCAGAGAGAGTGCGAGAGCAAGCCTACAGCTGCTTCCCTCACATCTCATTTGGAGGCGCCACTGCCTCTCCTGGACCCTGAACCTGCTCTAAGCAAACATGAGGCCAGAATCCACATGTGCACCATCAGAATCAGGAGCAGTGTCGTGGCTTGAAGAGTGTCCCCCAGTAGACCTGCCCCTTGGGAAACTCAGAATGTGAACTTCTTTGGAAAAAGGTCTTTGCAGATATAATTGAAGATCTCAAGAGGAGATCATTCTGGATTAAGGTGCACCCTAAATCCAGTATCAAGTGTCCCTATAAGAAATGGAAAATGAGAGACATGCACAGAGGGAAAGGCCACGTGAAGACAGAGGTAGAGATCGGACTGCCACGTCTCAAAGCCAAGCAACAACTCGGAGAGCAAGAGCCACCAGAGGTTAGGAGAGAGGCATGGAACAGATTCCCTCTCAGAGCCCCCAAAAGGAACCAACCCCACTAACACCTTGATTTCAGATGCCTGGCCTCCAGAACTGGGAGAGGAAAAATATCTGTTGTTTTAACTCTTCAGTTTGTGTAGTTATGGCAGCCCCAGGAGACTGATCCCAGCAGAAGCCCGGGTCAGGCAAACCCAGACTCAGATCCCACAGCCACCCCTTCCCCCTACGTCCGGGACCAAATGCTCTTAACCTCTCTGGTCCTCAGTTTTGCCCACTGTAAAATGAGAATAATACCAGCCAACCTCAATGTCCTATAGAAGGGATTCCTGCCTCTCAAAGCCAGCAGAGCTAAGTGTTCTCAGGGGCATCTGAATCTGTCCACTCACAGGACACTGTCACTTGGTCCCTGCATTACTTAGAGGTCCATCACTCTGACTGGCTGTGGGTGCCTGAGGATGGTTTTGTGTGAGCCGGTTATTTGACAACAGGTATGTTAACCTGCCAAACTCCAGAGTCAGCGTAACAAACACCAACCAGCATAAGGGGGCCAGGGGGAATGGGAAATGGACATTCTCCCTCTGGCTGCCCAGTGGGTGCCCATGCTGTGCGCATCACCCTCCCAGAATGCACTCGCTCCCACTGCCTCCAAGAAAGCGACTTCACTTCTGTGAGCTTCAGTCTCCTCGTCCCTCACGTGGGCTAAGAACACCCACCTGCTGGGTCTGCTGTGAAGTTCAGATGAGGTTATGTAGGTACCTACACCCCTGGCATTGGGCCAAGGCACTTGGTTGTCAGTAAATGGTAGCAATTATGTTGGCGACACAATTTGCAATTAAACTTTTTATCTGAGATCCCTGCAGATTCACATGCAGTTTTAAGAAGGAACAGAGATCTCACGCAACCTTGCCCAGTTTTCTCTGATGATTACATCTTGCAAGATTACAGCACAATATCACAGCGCAGACACTGAGTGGATACCGCCACGATACAGAACATTTCCACCACCACGGGGATCCCTCACATTGCCCTTTTATAGCTATCCCAACTTGCCTCTCTCCCTCGCATCCTGAACCCGAGACACCACTAATCTATTCTCCATTTCTCTAATTTTGTCATTTCAAGAATGCTATATAAATGGAATCATACAGTATGTAACCTTTCTGGATTGGCTTCTTTTTTTCACCCAGAAGAAGTCTCTGGAGATTCATCCAAGCTTTCTGTGTATCAATAGTTTGTTCCTCTTGATCACTGAGCAGTATTCTATGAAATGGATGTATCACAGTGTGTTTGATCATTCACTCATTGAAGGACAGCTAGGTTGTTTCCCCTCCATGGCTACTGTGGATAAAGCTGCTCTTAACATTCACGTGCAAGTTTTGTACAAACAAAAGTGTTTATTTCTCTGGAATAAATACCCAGAAGTGCAACTTCTGGACAGCATGGTAATTGCATGTTTAATTTTTAAAGAAAATGCAAATATTGTTCTTTGGAGTGGCTACATCATTTTATACCAATAATGTATGAGTGATTGATTTTCTCTGCATCCTAGCCAGTGTTTGGTGTTATCACAATGTTTTATTTTAGCCATTCTGATAGGAGTGTCATGATATTTCATTGTGGTTTTAATTTGCATTTTCCTAATGGCTAATGATATTGAACATCTTTTCATGTGTTTACTTGCCATCTGTATATCCTCTTTGGTCTTGATTACTGTTAACTATATAATAAGTTTGAAATCAGGCAAACTGATTCCTCCCACTTCATTCTTTTCCAAAATTGTTTTTAGCTATTCAAGTTCCTTTGATTTTTCATATAACTTTTAGAATAATCTTGTCTTTATTTATAAAAAAAATCTTGCTGGGATTTTGATAGGAATTGGGAATCAATTTTGAGGAGAACTGACATCTTAACTATGTTGTGTCTTCCAATCCATGAATATAGTATGTATATTAGCTTCCGAATCAGAAAAATAGGAAAAAGAGTGTATGTCTTTTGCCCATTTTGAGAAGTTTTTGCCCATTATTTCTTAGAGAACTTTTTCAGCCCTGACCTCTTTCTCCTCTCCTTCTAGGACTCTGGTGACAGCAATGCTATACCTTTTATTATTGTCCCAAGGGTCCCTGAGGCTCTACTCATTTTTTTAAATCCACTGTCTAATTTCTACTGCTCTATCTTCAAGCTCACATATTCTTTCCCTCTGCCCCTCCATTCTGTCACTGAGTCTCTCCACCCAGTTTTTAATCTTAATTACTGTATTTCTTGGTTATATGTTCTAAATTTTTCATATGGTTCTCCTTTATATCTTCTACTTATTTGCTGAGACTTTCTACTTCTTTGCAGCAATTTCCCATTTTTTCATTTGTTTCAAGATTGTTCATAATCACTTATTGAAACAGTTTTATGATAACTGCTCTAACAATCTTTGTCATAGATAATTCCAAAATCTCACTCGTCTCATCTATTGATTGTCTTATTTCATTCAGTTTGAGATCTTTCTGGTTCTTGGTGTGACAAGTAATTTTTCACTGACGCCTGGACATCTGGATATTAGGTTGTGAGACTCTGGATCTTACTGAAACCTTTGGCTTTAGCTGGCTTCCTGTGTCACCGCCCGAGCAGGGAAGAAGGTGTGTGCTGTCTTGTTATTGCTGAGTAGGGGCAGATGCCTAGGCTCTCTGCCTCTGTTGGCACCTGAGGGCAGGGGGGTTCCTAACTGTTGCTGGGTGGGGGTGGGAATTTCAGCTCCTTCATAGACCTCCACTGATACACTCTTTTTGGGAGAAGTAAGAGTGCCTTATTACTACTCCCCATGTAATCCACTGACACCAAGGGCAGGGGAATAGCTTCATTAATGGTGGGTCATAGGAAAAGTCCTGACTCTCCACCAGGCCTCCAATGACCCTACCTCATCAGGAAGGGGTGCTGCATTATTGCTGGATGAGGGGGCTCACAGTCCCCAACACAAACCAGGCCACATCTTCAAAGCTTGGGACATGCTATTATTTCTACTTGGAATATCTGCCAAGAAGACACAGCTCACCTCTCCCATCCTCTGAGAAGTTCCCCTGACCCCTGCTCCACCAGGTAAAGCACATCATTCACTCCTAGTGCTAGCTCTGCATTACTCCCTTGGCTTCAGCTGTTGCTTCAACCTGGTCACTTTTCAGCCTACTTGTTTGTCTCATCCTCTAGGCTGGGAGCTCCCTATACTCAGCACTTAGAAATATCCATTCCACTGGATGGAAGGACCAACAATGAAGGAAATGATGAAACCAAGATGAAGGAAAACAAGAAAGAAATGAAGGGAGGGAGGGTTGGAGGGATGAAGAGGAGAGAGGGAGGGAGGAAAAAGATTTATCTCCTACTAGACTCTGTCTTATTCATCTTGGAATCTGCAGAACTTAGCACAGGAATAAAAATGTAAGAGGTAGCAATAAGTATTACACAAATGAGTGAATTAATGGAAAAGAAGGAGAACTGGAAGGAGAGATAAAGGGAGGGAGGGGAGGAAGAATTGTGTTTATAGAGAAAGGAATTATCTCTACCTCCTTGAGAGTAGGAATTGGGTCTTTCTCATCTTTGTAGTTCAGGGCTGTTGTGAATACACAGAATCATCCCAAGAGAGCATAGCATATGGTGCCGACATTCCTAGGCCGAATTGCTACAATAGGAGGGGAAATTCCTTCTTCAGGTCAGACCCAGATCTATGGCCCGATGGGACCAGCAACTAGAGGTTGCATTCCAAACCCTACCAAATCATTCCGCGAAGGGCTAGTGGCATAATTCCTCTTTCTGAGCACATTTAAGATGCAGAAACATCCTTCAGAGACCTCCCAGTCCAACCCCTTCTTATTCTGTAAATGGGGACACTGAGCCTTGGAGAGCAAGGAGTGACTTGCTGGAGCCATACAGAGTGTTGATGGCCCAAGTCTTAACCTCCAGCCCAGAAGCAGAAACACAAGATTGTTCCAAGTCACAAGAAATTCACATCTGACTCTGGGAATCAAACAGAAGCACGCTCATCTCCCAGGTTCCCATTCCACCCAGTTGTGCACTGGTCTAGACATGGTGGTGATGGTAACTGCCTCTCTCATGGACTTTTCCCAAGGAAATTGTCCCTACCCTCCAACCCAACAGATGGTGCTGAATAGACAGTCCTAAACAGCCAGGCTCGTCTTGTGACCTCCAGAGCCCACCCCAACGCAGGACCACAGGTCAGAACAATATGGCAGTGGCCCGTGACTATGACATGGAATAAAAAGTTGAGCTGGCCAACAGGAAGAATAGCAAACAGCATTAGGAGCACAGGCAGAGAGGAGACGAGGCTCAAAGAGAACAGAAGAGCCACAACAGGCCAGAAAACAAATAAGCCAAGGTTGTGAGAAGGAGGAACTATATGGCGGCAGAAGCAATGACATGGAGAGAGGAAGGTAGAGGACAAGGAAACGAGTCAACAGTAACAGCCTGGAGCAGACCCACAAAGAGTAGTTGAGTCAAGGTCATGATGGAAGAACAGAACAACGATTCATTGTCTTGCTGCAGGTCCAAGTGCAAGACCAGCTGAAAAGGGCAAGCCAGCATGCAACTGCTTCAAATAGCAGCATGGAAGTAGGCAGATCTGCAACCTTGGACACCACTGCAGATGGGGTTTCGATGCCTTGATGTGGAAGTGTTAAGTGTTGTAGACTGGTCCCCCAAGGAGCTGGCAGAGGCTGCTATTTCTCCTCCTCCTCTTCTGGCTCCTCCACCATCTCCTCCTCCTCTTCCTCTCTTCCTCCCGCTGCCTCTTTCTTCTTCCTCCTTCTGCTCCTCTTCCTCCTCCTCATTCTGTCCTCTTGGTCATCAAGCCATTCCAGGCCCTGAGTAGCCAGTGTCGGACTAAATCCTTTACGCGTATCATTGCATCTAATCCTTTCCATGATCCCAATCACATCTGCAATCATCCTGCCTCTTTTATAGGGATGGGGTGGGGAGGGGGAAACTAAGGCAGAGAGAGCTTGCTATGACCAGTCAATGAAGGAACAAAGTTCCAAGCCCAGGCCTTCTGACTCCAAAATGCACACTCTAACTATTCTGTTGGGAGAAAAAGCTAGGCTTTTTGTGAACCTGGATTGACTGAGCCAGACAGGAGAGGAGACAGAGCAATGAAAAGGAAGTCTTCAGACCAAATTGGCTCAGAAATCTATTGCACTAACCACATCATTGTCTGACAAAAAGAATCTGTGTGAAGCCAGTGAAGAGAAAGAGAGGAAAAAATAACCCAGCCCTGTGATAGATCCTGTCCACCTTCGAGTCAAAGCTGCTTTCTAAATAGAGGTTAATTTATTTCTCTTATCAAATTCTCCTGCTGGCAGACAAGCAGAGCGATGTCGCAGTCACTGATCTATCTGACCTGTGTTTCTGTCCCATCTGATAGAGAGGCTCATGGTGCCTGCAAAGCCAGAGGGGAAGGTCTTGAAATGGCTCTGAGCAACCTGCCCCCTAAGATGTTACCAAAAAAAAGGATGGGTTATAGACATGCACAGTTACTTCTCAGGAGCTGTACCGTTTGAGCCCTTGAAGCACCCCCAGAGGTGGGGATCCCTTCTTCTAGAGACCTATATGTATTGTTTGCAAATAACAAAGAAGAAGTGGACCCCTCCTGGCATTTGGATTGGAAGCCCAAGATTGAATCTGATAACGGTATCTAGAATTTCCTAGGCACTTACCAGGTGCCAGGAACCATACTGAATGCTTTTATGTTGATTTCTCATTTCATCCCCAAAACAACTCTGAGGTTGGTGCTTTTACTAGCCACCACGGACACCTTATTTTTTATTTTTTAAAGATTTACTTATTTGAGAGAGAGCAAGTGAGTATGAGCAGGGGGAAGGGCAGAGAGAGAGGGAGAGAGAGAAGCAGACTCCCCACTGAGCAGGAAGCCAGACCCAGAACCCTGAGTTCATGACCTGAGCTGAAGGCAGATGCTTAACCGACTGAGCCACCCAGGTGCCCCCACCACGGACACTTTAAAACATGGCCTCAAATTCCTTGGACTCCTCCTGTCGACAGGTGGGATCTATGCCTCTCCCCTTAAATCTGAGCAGGAGCGTGACAGCCTCCATCAGTATGGTGTATATATATATACCAACCCTTGGCTAGTGACAAATCAAGACAGTGCGCTGCCTTTTATAATGCTAGCTTATAAAATCCCTGGTTGGCCAAAACACTTGCTCTTTGAGCCCTCACCTGCCAGGTAGGAGACTTGCTACCCTGAAGCCGCCATGAGGAAGCTCAAACCATAAGGCAAGTCCACATGTAGATGCTCTCACTGAGTCTCCGCTGAACCCTGCCTGTGATGCTCCCCAGTCCAGACACCAGACAGGTGAGTGAAGAAGGCTCTAGATCAGGGGTTGGCAAACTTTTCCTTGAAATGGCCAAATGGTAAAAATTTTAGGCTTTGTGAGACACGTGGTCTCTGTTAGAAGCACTCAATTCCCAATTGTAGTGTGAAAGCAGCCATAGACAATATGGGTATGGCTCATTCCAATATAACTCTGTTCACAAAAATGGGTGCAGGTGCTGGGCTGGTTTGGCCCGTAAGCCACAGTTTGCCAATCTCTGTTCTAGAAGATTCCAGCCCCCAGCTGTGTGGGTTTTCCCAGGTGAGTCCCTGAACATCATGGAGCAGAGCCCAACCATCCCTACTGTACCCTGTCCTAATTCCTGACCCACAGACTCCACGAGCATCATTAAAAGGCTATGGTACACCAATGAGTTTGAGGTGCTTTGTTGTACAGTGGTAGATAACTGGAACACACCCATTTCACACACAGGAAAACTGAGGCTGAGAAAGATCAGTGGTTTGTCCAGAGTCTCACAGCTAGTAAGTGGGGGAAGCCAAGGTCAACAGCAAGGTTTGCCTGACTTCAGAGGCCAAGCTCTCAACCGCTTAGATGATGCCACAAGGAGCCAGATGGTGAATGGCTGAGAGCTAGTAGTAAAAACGGTGGGTGATAGCGCACTCGAGAAAGAACATGGGCTTTGGTGGGGAGGCATGCAAAGGGAGGTCAGAGATGGAGCAAGGGGCCAAATTACACATGGCCTTGCAGGCTGCAGTAAGGAGCTTGATTTGTTTTCTAAATGCAGCAGAAAGCCACTGGATGGTTTTTAAGCAGAAGGGGACAGGATTCAAATTATGTTCATTAGGAATTACTCTGGCTGCTGTGTGGAGGGTGGGCTGGGGAGGGCCAACGCTCTCTCCAGCTGATGCAGAGAAGTGAGACAGTCTTGTCAGTGAGAGGTCTGATGCTCCTCTGGGTCCTGAACAGGTGGTGACTTCCCACGGGCTTGTTGATCTACACTTTATGCACCTTCCACGTAATGCACAAAAGCACTGGGGAGCTTGAGAAATCACCTGCTGGCATGTGCAGGACGCAGCCTTTGCCTCCTACCGTAAGGCTGCAAGTCTCCCTGGGATAGTTCTGATGCAGTCCGACCAACAGGCCAAACACAGGATGTGGAAATCACGCTGGAAATTTCCACACCACAGTGGAGAGAAAGATGTACAGAGAGGCTCACTGGTGACCACCATGTGAGGAGCAGCCAGAAGCCAACCAAAGTGGCTGAGGCTCAGAGCTTCAGACCCCCATGTATCCACCCACCGAGTCTCCAGCGGGAGCTCAGAAATAGACACCCCCCCCCCAATCTCTTGGTGGTCTGATTCAACAGCTGTGTCAGCCCAGAACCATCTGCGAAGTTAATCCTGGCAGATGGTGGAACATCTCACAGAGCAAAGAGGAGAGGTCTGGACCACTAAGGACTCTGCTCAGGCTCTCCTGTGCTCCCTACTGCCCCCTCCTTGACAGACTCATTCATTCTCACTTCTGTGTGCTCTCTCCTTAATCAGATTTCTGGCACACTGACTCTCCACTGATGCTGGATGCCCCCCAAGCTTTACTTGACACAAACCACACGGAAGGAGGAGAGCCCAGGTGGGCTGGGAGGTGATGGTTCTCAGAGCCATCCGTGCAAGCCCTGCCCCCACCCCTCCCTGGCAGCGGTGGGCCCCAGCATGCCCCCACCCAGCAGGACCCCAGCCTCACCTTGCTGATTTTGTTGGTTTTAGGGAGCGTCTGGCTGATGTGCAGGTCCGAATACCGGGGTGGCTTTCGTAGAGGGTTGTTGATGTCACACGGGACGGACTCTGTTCGGACTAACCTTGCTGGATCCGTAGGGGTAAAAACAGCAATTTGGGAGTTTAAGTACCACTTTGGTTTTATACGTATGGTTAGGCCAGGAGAGCAGAGCTCAGACCCCACCCCAAAGGCCCGCCCCCCAGGAGCAAGAGGGAATTCTCCAAAAATGATAGTCGTCTGTCATGGTAGTAAGATCAGGTGTTCTCTGGTTTCTGAAATTTTTACATTGTCAATAAATAACTTGTTAATTGGAAATTTTAATAATAAAACTGAAGCTATCGATACCATAATTGTTTCACACTGGGGTTCATTTCAGACTCGACCCTCCTTTGAAATACAAGAGGTTCCTGATTCCTTATGGTCTGCAATCAACGGACAAGCTCAGAATGGTCACCTGTCCCTGCCCCCATCTAACTTCTGCATTGGGATCCTCCTTTGCTACTTGTGGGATTTCTCAGGCCTGAGCAGCCTGTTGCATGTCAAAACACATGTGTCCTAAACAAGGCCACCGGGACTCCGGAAAGGAAGGCTTAGTATGTCCAGACCTCTCCTCAATAACATCCCTGAAGCCATACAAAAAGCTGGGCTCATAGCTAATGCTAAATAAATGCTTCCTGATCCAAATCACACTACCCAAGCTCCTCTTCTGGTTACCCCTCTGTCATTACTACTTCTTATAGGGACCATGGGGAGGGGCAAATTGAGAAGCTCAAATTCAAATCTGATGCTTGGCAGAGTTACTTGTTAGCTGTTTTTATTGCACAGGGTGTGGGCCATTGGTGGAAAAGTTAAAGCTTTGCACTGACCCAGGGATTTAATTTCTCTGCTTAGCCTGAGCTGCCATCTCCATGGAAACCAACTATATTTTAAACTTCCTATCAACAAGGGTGGGGAGGTGGCGAGGGGGAAGCAAGAAGCTGGCGGACTTCTGGAAAGATCCATTGCTTTCGCATGTACAGGCACCTGCTGCCTTTGAGCTTTGAGTGAAGGGGGCATGGCTATGAAGGTGGGTGGGGGGAGGGAGCCCTTCTCCAGATGTCAGCCTCTGAAAGCGGGTCGCCATACAGCAGGCTGATTCTGGTCTCCTCAGGGGAGTTGGGCTCCAGCAGAGTCCACTATGGAGAGGAATTTCTCCAGTGACACTGACCCAAGACAAGGGCTCAAGGGCTGTGAGAATTCAGGTTTAAAAACAGCCTCCTTGAGAGTGTATACAGTTGTGCAAGGAACAGATGGTTCTTAATTAAGGATGTGGGTGGGAAGGGGCTAAAGGGCTGAAGACTTTTCCTTTACTTGCAATTTCCTCTCCTCGTGGAGGTAAGCAGTGCAAAGATCATCAAAAACCAACAGCCCAGGGGCTTTGGAACACACACATTCTAGGACTTTTGGCAGCACTTTGCTTCCTTCTTTACATTTCCCTTGGGTTCATTCTAAAACAGGGCAGATTCCCCAGACCCTACACTGACTAAGGCCAGGGGAGCTGGGAGGGACACAGCAGGGACCAGGAGGCACTCTATCCCAGATCAGCAGGTTGTATACCGCGATGTTGGCTCCAAGGCTCCATCCAACCTATAGATGGAGGGTGATGGGGAATTGGCCAGCAAGAATTTTAAAACTTACTAAGTTGCTAGCATCTTAGTACAACTTTTCTTTGAACCGCAAGAAAAATGCAGAGCAGGTCCACATTGCCTCCATCACTGGTGGAGCGGCTGTCCTCTCTAGACAGTGCCTGGGCTTCCTCTCCACTTTGCATGGCTTCATATGACCACCTTCTCTCATTTCGGATCCTTGCTTGGCCCTAGTGGCACCTGATGGCAACTTCTACTCTAGAAACTTGCTTCTTAACTTGAAGGGGCAGAGGAACGGCCCACAGATGCAGTGAAAGATGTAGATTCTGCTTCAGTGGGTCTAGGGTGGGGCCAGAAACTGTGCATGTCGAACTCCACCGCTCCCAGGGGAGTCCACTGTTGCCAATCCACAGACTGCACTTTGAATGGCAAAGGTAGGGACCAGTGATACCCAATAGAACTTTTGGCCATGAGGAAAGTGTTGGTTATCTACAGTATCCAGTATGGTAGCCACCAGTGGCTACTGAGCCCTTGAAATGTGGCTGGTGTGGCAGAGTAATTGAATTTTTACTTTTATTTCATTTAAATTAATCTAAATTTAAATAGTCAGATGTGGCTAGCCGCTGCTGTATTGAAGAACACAGGCCTAGAGGGTCAGCCGGTGAATGAATTGTAAAACAGATAATAGAAGTCAGTGATAACTACGCCATGAGACAAGAGTCAGGGGAACTATTTTGAAAGCTGGACTGCAAGGTTTTCCGAGGAGATTCTTCCTATTGAGTCCTTGGCAGGCAAGGCAAAGCCTTTCTTTCCAGTCTTTCCTTTGCACTCAATTGGTCTTTTTTTTTTTTTTTTCTCCCCAAGGTAAAAGGCTGGCAGTGGCTCTCCCAAGAGTAGCTGGCTTGGACAGTTTGGCCCAGACACTACCAGGGCCCCAGGGGACAGAACACAGATGGCCCAAACCCAGAAACCCAAGTACGACCCCTCCCCACACCCACCCCTGTCGGGCCAAATGGTTGAGTCTAAAGAGCACATCATGGGGAACACTCAGCCAGCACTCTTTCTAAGTGTGAAGGAAAAGCAATGAGATTGGGGGAAAGAGAGGAGAGTGGAAATTAGGAAAGCAGACAAGAATGAGAGAAAAAGACTTAGGAAGGGGAAGACAAATCTGGGGGCTAAAGTATCAGAGAGACCAGCAGAGGGGCAAGGAAGAGGGAGAACAGGCACTGGAGATGGATGAAGGAGACAGATGTCAGGAAGAAGAGTGTCAGAGGGGAAAAAAATAGGCAAGTATCAGGGGATTAAGAGGTACCCAGAAATGGCCTGGATGGGACAGCTATCTCCGAGGGTCTGCAGGGGCCCCCACCCCAGCCTACCCCTAGGGCAGGAAGTGTTAAATACTTACCTCCTCGGTGGATGATCAGGAGATGACAGGGAGGGGCTTCTTTGGTGCATTTGTTGTGGCACTTTAATCTGAGAGAGAAAGAGAGACAAGAATGGAGAGATGGGTGGGTGGATGGATGGATGGATGGATGGGGAGGAATGGGTGGATGGATGAGTGGATGGATGAGTGGAGGGATAGATGGATGGATGAGTGGAGGGATGGATGGATGGATGAGTGGAGGGATGGATGGATGG